GCGGGAGGTTCCAGATCCTTGTGATAATTCCCTGGAAACATCTGAGTAGAGACCATTGATAGAGACTGAGTGAGACGGTGACTGGGTGAAACGGGGAAAACATACACCGAGAGAGATAAGGCCCTGGGAGACGAGTCTCACTTGGCATGCATCAGCCTTTGTCTCCTCCACCCCCGCATGAAGGGCCAGGCAGGGCAGGGCAAGAGTCCTAGGCACAGGAATCAGACCTGGGCTAAAGATTAACTCTATGGCAAACACCAGGCGCTGGGACCAAGTGGTACCCCCTCCCCATGGTTCAGCAGGAAGGGGGGGTGGGAGAGCCTATGGGAAAGCAAATGGATTTTGGTAGCAAACGGACCTCACCTAGGAAGAAACCTGTTAAGGTTGACAAAAGAAATCCTGTGCTCCAACCAATTACGGTAGAAAGGTGCCAGATATGGAACAAGGAGATGGGGGAGGTGGCTGTGCACAAAGCAGATGGGAGTATACTACAGAAAGGCTGGGAAGAAGGGGCTGGGAGAGGTGTCTGGAGAGGTGAGACCACGCTGGAGGGAGCTCAGGCCCAATTCTCGGGGGTCCTCATGTCAGAAGGTAACCACAGAAGGGAGGTGACGTGGCCAGGAGAGCAGGAGCCAGGCTGGTCTTCACAACCCCCCATCCCCAACTCCATTCTACAAAGCTTTGTCCTTTTGCTTTCAAGCCTATGCCAGCCAGACTTACTCGGTCATTCCAGGGGATTGGCACTTCCCTCCTTAAAGCTGGCATCCCCAGCAGGGGGCGCATCAGGCCAGTCAGGAGCTGTGCCTCTGGCAGCTGCTCAGGACTAGGCTCCCGGCTTGGGTTGCCATGGAGTCGGCAGACACCGCAGCAGTCAGACATGAGACCCAAGAGGGTGAACTTGCCCACCAGAGGTGCGGGCAAGATGCCGTTGCGACCCTGGCTCACTCAGAGCAAGAACCCACTAGGCCCAGGAGGGACTGCATTCAGGGAGCAGACTGTCCAGATCTCCGCCCTCAGGCCCTGACCTGGTGACCCTCAACTCCGCCCACCACTCACTACCCAAGGCAAAGTCCCATCTCTGCTATTCCTGCTTATCCTGTGGGCACCCCAAGCTAGAGGCCTCACTGACCAGAATCCCTGCCAATGATCAGCAGGAATAGGGGAAGGAAATCCAAGTGTAGCCTGGCCCCGGGGCAGTCACACAAAGTTTGGTCTTCAAACCTGGCTCTCCACCCCAGGCTTCCACCTGACCCCAGGGCCCAGCCACTCCCCTTCCTGTGACCCACCTGCCTGGCTAACCGGGTAAAGGTAACATGCTTGTCCTCTGCAGGCAAGTGGCAGATGAAGGAGGCCAGAGTGTGGGCAGGAGGAAGTGTGGGCTTCCATTTGCATCAGGACCTCAGGCTCTTCACTCACATGGACCTCAAAATCTGCAATGGCCTACACTCAGCAGGGTCCTGGCAGCTACCCCAGACTCCGGCCACGGAGCATGGAACTATCCCCAGGATCGAGCATTGCAAAGCCTGTGCTTATCAGGAAGACTCTAGTGCCATAATGAAGCTGAGGCACCAGTGTAACTGCAGCTACACTGGGCAGGAGAGACCAGAAGGAGCAGAGCTGAAAAGCACAGGGGTCCTCCCTGAAGGCCAGATCCCAGCTAGCCCAGAGCAACGCAGAAGAAAGGCAGAGTTCTGCAGAGGATGAGGGAAAGTAGAAACCATCAAATCAACAAGATGGGAGCATCGCTGCCCAAAGCTGGCGAGCTACTGCGGGGAGAAGCTGGAGAAGGGGGCATTCACAGGAAGCTTCCCGGGATGCACCAGCCACCTACAGGGTACAGACCACGGAACAGCAAGGGCCCCAAGCCCCACGTGCATGGATGCAGGCCGCACTGCATCCTGGGAAGACACACAGGTCATGGCTTCCGGATCCAGTCTGGGCAGTGTCTGGCAACCATCAACGTGGACCTGGGAGGCTGGACTTCCAAGGCGTGGAGCAAGCAGCAGCCTGCTTCTTCCACAGAGACCCAATTGTGGAAAGCTCTGAACTAGGCCCTACTTTGGGGTGGCAGACCCTGCTCTCCCTAGCAGCCCAGTTCTGCTGTGACCCTCACCTGGCTTCTCCATGATGGCAGTTACTGATTATCTTCTAGAGCCTAGAGGTGCCGCCTTTCCTGACCAAAGCACATGGAGAAATTATGAAGAGAAGAGGAAACGAGAGGTGACCGGATGTGCAAAGCCAAGGCGGCTCCAGCACAGGAGGCCCCTGCCTCCTTGCAGGGTCTGCTCCTCCTCCCAAGGTCCACTGCCATTCCTGCTGTGCTCCCCCACTTCTGTTCTACCTCCTGCTCTGGCCTGACATGGAACTCCACTGTGGACCTTTGGCAGGACGTGTAACAGGATGGCAGCAGGAACCACGGAGCAGGCAGAGAAAGGGCGGCTTGGCCCCGGAGGCTGATTTCAAGCATGGTGTGGCTGATCTGCTCTCAGGCTTCATGTACAGTCAGCTGGGAACAGTGGCTCCAGCCATGCTCAGGTCCTCTGCTGTCACAGGGACCCTACACACACACACACACACGCACACACGCACACGCACACGCACACGCACACACACACCATCCCTCAGCCAGGAGACTGCATCGCATAGCCTGTGGTCACTGGGGCTCTCAGACATGTAGGTCTTACGTGTGGGGCTGCGGGAGGATGACATGGAGGTGAAGGTGGCATGGGAAGCAGGCCTGGTAGTGCATACCTGTAATCCCAGCACTGTGGGACACTGAGGCAGGAGGATACAAGGTTTAAGTCCATCCTGGGCAACTATGTAATTTAAGCAAGACACACCTTCAAAATACAAACAAACACAAACAGATGAGTAAAAAAGCTGGGAATCTGGGAATTTTTTTGCTGCTGTGGCCTTGGGTTCAACTCTCAGTACTGTAAAAAGAAGAAAGAAAAAGGAAGGGAGAGAGAGAGAGAAAGAGAGAGAGAGAGACAGAGTCAGAGACAGAGACAGAGAAGGGTAGGGGTGGTAAACCTTGTCAGACAGAAAGAGAAAGCCAGCAAGAACAGGAACCAGGCCAGGGAGATGGCTCAGTGGAATAAGCGCTTCCCTGGCAAGTGCAAGGGCCTGAATTCAATCCCTGGTTCCTCAAAAAAAAAAAAAAAAAAAAAAAAAAAACAGGAACCAGAGCCAGAGAAAGGAGAAGAAAATGAGGGGGCAAAAAAGTAGTCAGAAAGTGAAAAGTAGAGAAAAATACAACAAGGGGAAAGAAAGATGAAACAGAAGCGGCTGGGATAAAGAACAGTAAAAGAAGAGGGCACAGGGGACAGGTCACCAGGACAAGGGCCTCCGTGGCCCAACCTGGATGGCTTTCGCTGTCTACCAGGCCCTCAGCTGGGCGTTTCCTGCTCCTGTTGGGGCACTTATTCTGGCAACAATGACCCCAAATGGATCAGCTGGGGAGAATGTAGGAGTCCTCACAACAGCAGAGCCTCGGACAGCGCCAGAGGGTGGGGCACACAGCCTTCCCTTCTCCTCCCCGTGCCCAGCAAGGGCTTCCCTCAGTCCTTGGGTATGAGCTCGCCCAGCCTGGAAGGCCTGAGGACATGTGACCCCTGGAGGGCCGGGGCTGGGGGAAGCAGGCATGCAAGGTCCAGCTTCTCTCCCATTCCAGGCCACCTAATCTTCACCTCCCCCCTATCAGCACAGCCCCAGGCAGCAAATCAATCAAAAAACACCAAGACACTAGCCAGGTGTGGCGGCACACAGTTTAATCCCAGCACTGCGGGAGTCTGAGGCAGGAGGACCACTCATTCCAGCCCAGTTTGAGCAACTCAGTGAGACCCAGCCTCAAAAATAAAAGATAAAGGGCCTGGGGAGGTGTCTCAGTGCGAATGTTCTGGGCTCAAACCATAGGACCACAGAACAGTGGGTGGGGGATACCGAGGACAGGCGGCCATGGGTCCTCCATGTCAAGGAGCTGCCAGGTGCCGAGAAAGAAAACACACAGCCCACTGATTCAGATCCACAGCCCCACATTACACCCAATACTTAACATAGTTCCTCCCTCTGCGACTTCCAAAGCTGTCATTCATCACCACCACCCCCACATCCCCATGCCACTCCACCAGTGGAGCAGAGGCTAATGAGGAGAGGTAGAAAAGATGGCACTGCCATGTCAGAGTCGAGTAGAAGCTGAGCAGGCTCAGAGAAGGAGACAGGAGTGGCTGACACCAGGCCGTGGTACAGAATGCCAGCTCTGCCACTGGGCAGTCTAAGGGGGCAGTGTGCATGTGGCCAGGGCCAGGTGAGAGGCTGCAGCCAGCTGCTCGCTAGAGGAAGAGTTTAAAGTCCCACTGTCCAGTCCATGTGACCATGGGAGGATGCCTTTACTCCCAGAGGCACTCTCGGGCATGCAGCAGCTGGATGCCACTGTGCAATCGCCCCCCCCCAACTCCTTCGCAATGAGCCAGGGGCAGGCAGTGGATATCCACCAGAAGTAGCACACTTTGGAGGGTATGGAGGCAATTCCGGGGGCAGGAGGCCAACTCTGTTACACAAGACAGCTCTCAGCTGAAAAGGGAACATCTTTGGGCTGTATCTCCTCCAAGATGTCTTTAAGAGATGGAAACTTTGTCCCTGACTTCCCACTTGAAGGCAACCCCAGGCCCAGAATTCCATCTGGCCTTGGAATGGCCAGTCCTACCCAACTGCTCTCCTCCTTCAGGGTTTGAAGGACCTTGTCCAGAAGGAAAAGTGAGGCTGGAGTTAAGGGAGCCCATTCCCCTTGCATTGGTTTCCCTGCATTAAGTCCTCCCTCGCCAGGCTGTCCTGTCCTGCTACAGAGGATGTCCCTGGGTCTCGGGAAGTAAAAGTTAGTAAAAGGAGGAGCCCACGCATGGGGGCGGTGCTCAAAGTGCACAGGGCTCCGACCTGCCCACCTCCCTCTGTCTCCACCCACTTGACAGCTACCCAACAAGAAGAGAAACAGGAGTACTTACATTGTACCAGCTCTGGCTTTTCTGAAAAGACAAAATGAAACAGAGAGTAAAGTTAGTCAGGGAAGAGGCACCGGGCATGGCTAGTGCAGTCCTGGCCCCGGAGGGCAGGGTACACAGACAGCAGAGGGCGGGCAGGGAGGTGGAGCCCAGTGCAGCGAAATGCTTCCCAGGTCGCTGCTCTGGAGGGGTCCTCCTTTCTCAAGGCAGCTCCAGAAAGGAGGCCCAGGGAGCAGTCCATGCTGGAAGCCCCACCACGGCCGGGGTGGCTGGGGAGGCAGGCAGAGGCAGCACCAACTAGCGCTCAGCCGGAAGGGAGTCGGAGCCCCATCACAAGGTTCTTCTGATGGGGGTGCGGGATGTACTACAGCATCCCAGGTGCAGTCCCCAAATGGGACCTGACCAGAAGCAAAGTACAGACGGACACCACCCCAGCTTTAGGATCCAGCCCCCACCCCGCTCACCCCCGTGGTAGGCAGGGTAGGCTTCTTCTTTGCAGGGGAAGGGGCAGCCTCAAATCACCCTCCCATCATGCTCTCAGCTACAGATGAGAAACCCCTCCTCAGATCCCAACAACTACCTGCCAAAGTGATAATTACAGAAAACTATCTGGGGTTCTGCATGGAGAGGAAGGCCAAGGTCTGCAATGGTCCTGTCCGATCCCGAAGGGTCATCTTTCAATGCCGGCAAAGTCAGGTTCCACCCTAGCTCCAGAATTGAGAAGTTCCCCAGCCCCAGCCCGGTAGAAAAAGATCTGAAGATTTGTCCAGGGAAAGAGGAGGGACAGCTATGTTGTGCCTCATCTATCCCTGAACTCTACAGACAGAAATCCCTTAGGTACACCCAGCTGGGATAGAAACTTCACCTATGGGTCAATATCTCAGCTAGAGCTAGTGGTGCAGAGCCTGGGTGCAAGTCACGGCTTCTCACCTGTCCACCTGGTATGAAGGGGCCACCTCTGGAGGGCAGAGGATGGTGGCCCCTATCTCAACACAGTTGCTTTACAAATGCCCAGAAAGGTACACCAGAGTCCAGGTAGGTGAGTGTGACCGCAGGGATGGTGACCAGCTCTATCTCCCCTCTGCAGAAGAACTCTGAAGCTACTTTGTCCCTATCTTCTGAAGATGGACAGTGACAGCAGACATAGTGGGGACAGGCAGTAGGGACGGCTGGGTTAGGCAGCAAATGCTGCCTCTTTCCCCAACGCCACTGGCCAGACTGTGCCCAAAGAGCAGAGGACAAGGCAGGCTCCCGATCCACCTCAGCAAGAGCTCGCCGTTGTCATCTCCCAAGCAGGCTGGCATCATGGCATCTAATCTGGAAGTCATCTACTTCTACCCTCGTGTCAACCTCTCCTCTGACTCAGAGCTTAGTACATAAGGGACAAATGCAGAGGTTCAACTCCCTTACTCTAGCCAGGTGGGTGGGGGAGTTGCTATACAGGAATCCTGGGCCCACAACCCCTCTAGCATGGCAGCTGAGGCCACCCCATCGCGACTGGGCCAGCAGCATGCATCTCGCTCAGCACATCTCACTCACTTCCTGGGGCTTCACAGAGAAGCTCGGACTGTGAGCCCAGAGGCTTGGGGCTGGGCAGAGGTTCACTGCAATGCACTTTGTAAAGCAGGAAGTGCACACAGTGACCTGATACCTCAACAGCCCCATGGGCTCCTGGTATTTCATTAAACCCAAACCACAGCAGCATGTCCTCACTTCACAGCTGAAAAAAGCTACCACCCGCACCATCACCTCATCCCTTGTCCTGGGCTTCCTATGAGCTCCTAGGTGGGAAACTATACAGACTTGGGTGGAATCAGCAAGCTACCAGGAGCCTTGGTGATGCTCTCTCTATGACAGTGCCCTTGTCCTTCACTGTGTGGACAGAAGTAGATTTGCCCTTTCCATGTGCTGGCCTTCAGATGCTTCTCCTCCCTTCTAAGTTTATTTGGAATGGAGAACTTTGAGGTCACCAAAAGCCTCAGTCAGGGAACCAGCATCCCTTCTCTGACTAGCCCTGTGCAATATTTGCTCTTTCGTGAAGGGTAGGTAAGAACAAGTAGTCTCAATACTCACAAGAAATGCGAACTACACCACCTGCTGGTAAGGCTACACAGGGCTCTGCCCCTCACCACTCAGCCTTGGGCAGCAGACTCTGTGCTGCTACCACTGAGGGAGCCCCTATGGCACATGGGTAAAACCCACACCAGTCGCGAGACCGCCCAGGCCAGGGCCCTCTGGGAGGTACACTACATCCTCATGGCTCTGCATCCTGGGCGAGGCCTGAAGCAGTCACCTGACAAGGTGCATGGTAAGGCAGACCAGGGAGCCTGCTGGCCCTGCTGGCCCACTGCCACACCCCTCCCTAGAGGGCAGGGGCAGAGAGAAAGAAGGGACTGAAGGAGAGAGGAGGTGATGGCTTCTAAGCTTACAAGCAGATTCGGACGGAGGGGAGGTGGAAGGAGGAGGAGGAGGAACAAAGACAGAGCTACCAGCAGTGGGAAGCAAGCCGGAAGTTTCCACTGCCTGCTCTACACAGTGTCTGAGGAACAAGGACAGCAGGAAAGCAAAACTCTGGAAGCAGACCCATCACCTTGAGGTAGCTTCCTATCCCCAGGGTCACAAATACCTCTCAGCAGAGGCACAGGGAGTGCAGAAAATGAAGAGGGGGGTGTGGTAGGAGAGGCTAGGAGCACTAGGTTTAGGAGTTAGGGAGAAAAAAAAACAACGTCTTACTTTGATCAGGTTAAGTTTGTCATACTGAAAAGAAAACCACAAAAATTAGAATTGAAAAAAAGGACAAAAAGGAGAAAGGCCAAAGGAGTGCTAGTGCCACAGCATGAGGGTAACATTATGTGCTTGCAGAGAGAGGTACCGCAGGGCAGAAGCTGAGGATCTGTTAGCCCCATCTACCTGGCCCTAACCTCAAGTTGGCTGTGGGTCCTTCCAGGTGGGAGCAGGCCAGTGGGCCTAGGCTCCCTCTAGTGGCCACAGACTGTCACTACTGAGCATTCCCTGGATGGTGGACAAGAGCAGGGATTCCTGGGACAGGAAGGCAGCCCCAGGCAGAAGTGAGGGTCAGCTGGACAGCAGAGTTAAAGGTCAAGGGGGCGAAGCATTAGGGACTGTCATGTCCACCCCTTACATATAACTAGTGAAGAAACGAAAACCAGAGCAGAAAAAGTATACTGCACATGAGGCCTCACATCAAGGAGAAGGGGAAGCATCTTCCAGCTTGCCTGAGAAACATAGGGGTGATCTCTTCTCGCAGGGAACAGAGGCAGAGAGTGAGGTGGCCTCACAGCAAGGGGAGCCCCAGCAGCTGTGGCTCTTAGGTCCCTTGCCACGGAGACATACGGTCAACCTAAGAGGATGTTCCACAGTGCACAGAGAACCGCGTATGCCAAGCACACCGGCCTGTGGAACCTCCTTCCTGCGCCAGCCCTCATGCCCCTCCTCTGGGTCTGTGTCCTGCACATGTGTTCCGCTGACCCACCACAGCTGCCCACAGGTCTGCCCGGGGATGGACAGCACCCTTTTCTGCACACGCGAGTCCTAGTTCCACTGCACTTGAGGACAGTAATGAGTCAATGACTATGTCTGCTTGGGACGGCTGAGCCCAAACCCCAGCTTTCCTGCAGTCACCACCTTCCTCAGACCCTCAAGAAGGTGGCCAAGTTAACTCTCACAGCACTGTCAGCGGCTGTTTATTTCATGATGTCTCTCTAAAAGTGAACTCTAAAATCCGCTCCCTCCCTATCCTTCCTACCCCAACTCACAAATGACTCCTCCTGCCTCGGAACTGGCATGCTGCCCTGAGCTTCTCCGGTGGCTCTGGTCTGCAGAGCAGGTGGGAAACACGCTCTACATTTGTAGACTATGCTGTCTGCATCGCGCAGATCACAGGGCTGCGGCTCCTGGACCAGACCGGCTGTCCTCACGGATTCTACACTGTGAGACTGTGTCTCTCTCCCTGCTCCCACCACAAAAAGACCTACCATTTCAGAGACTATAAAAGCAGTCCTCATTACTGGGTATTCCCACTCCTCAGCCCATCACCTGACCAAAGCACATGCTAAGAGGTGGCCAGGGAGGCCTCGGAGCAGCACTGTCCTGCTTACGGAGCACCCTGCTAGACATTCAGAGCTTAGAACTTCACTTAGAATGGAAAATGGGCTCTGACTCTGGGCACAAGCAGCACACAGAACGTGGCCACACCACCCACACCCATCCTCCCCCAGCCAGCCCCTCCAGGGCCTCGATGAACCCAGACGGAGGTCTGAGCACTCAGAAGGTAACATCACTCACATCCAATGCTGGTCCTGACCTGAGCTCGCCTGCGCCTGCGCAGCCACCTGACCCCACAGAGAACTCCCACAGCCTCGCTCCGGCTCATTTCTCTTTCCTTGCCCACAGCTTACCGCAGCCATTAAAATCCTTATAGACACAGTGTGCTTCCAGTCTGAAAGTCATATCCTGCAGGTGTGGACACGTAGCCTCTTGTGCTTCCCTCAGGGAAGAACAGCCTCCCCGCCCCGCAAGGTGCACAGGGTCTTGGGGCTATTACAAGTAATCCCTCAGCTTCTTCTTCCGGCTGTAACCTTCCTCGTGGGAGGACTCCTGAACCCCGCCGTCTACGATACCCATTGCTCACCACCCTCTTCAGGCCCCTGAGATCCAGGGGTCAGGGGAAGACGCTAGCACTGGCCTCCTGATCTGCTCCTGGTCCTCTAGGACCTGGAAGCGGTTACTGTGAACATCCACCAACTTCCAGGTGAGGTGCTGGTGCAGCACCAGATTTGATCAAAGGTCAAAGCCCTAAGAACCCCAAGGGTCTGGGACCAGGTGGCGGGTGGAAACATTAAAGGGGCCACGGGTGAGTAGCTCCCAGGTGGAGAGCAGGAGTGTGCAGCAATAACCCCCAGGATTACTGCTCCTGCACCAGGGAGTTTACGGCCCTGAATTCTTGACCCTATATACCAGTGCATCCTTCCTGACAGTTTCCAATCACTCCCCCCACCAGGAGGGCTTAGGGACCATCAATACGACCAGAAGGGCCTCCCACCCGCTGAAGGAATGATGCTACCCCTGTGGGACTCTGCTTCCAGAAGGTAGCAGAGGAGTCAACAGGGGAGTCAATTCCCACCAGAAGCAGTTTTTGGGGAGCAGGCAGACACAGGGAGGAGGGATGGGGTCTATTCTCTGACATGAGTACAGTGGGAATGGTCCCTCAGTGACTCCAAGCCAGCCTGCCAGGGGGAAGTGAGGCCCTTCTGGGGAAGGGACCAAGCAGGACACATGGGCAGAAGTGGCAGGGGCAGAGGGCAGGGATGCTGAGCACCACAGACAATTCGACACTAGAGGGGAGATAAAAAAAGACAGAGACAAAAGATGGCTTACTTTTGAGAGGCGCTTGTGAGACTAAGACCATGCATGCAAAGAAGGTGTTTGGGAAACGGTGGGGAAGAAGAGGAAGAACAAGAAATCAAAAGACAAATTCAGGTGGGAAACCAGCTCCCGTGCCCCCGGGGGTCCCCAGCCCCTTCCCAGGCCCTGTGAGTGCACTGACAAAGAGAAGCTTCGTGAAGGCGGGCCTGGGGAGTGACCTGCCCTGTGTCCCAGAGCCCGAGTGTCAGAGGGGGTCCTCTGAGGAACCACAGCCTGCGCGGGCCTTGTTGTGTGACCCTGGCAAGGGCCCCAGGACTTGCGAAGGTGCTCAGGTGGCACGGACCTGCTTGGGAGGGAAGGAAAGGACCTCATCGCTGTACTCTCTGCCTGACCAGCACTTGGGGTGTCAGTGTAAAGGGCAGGCATGGTGATGCCTAGGGAAGCGGGGAAGTGTGGTGCTCTGGAAGGTTCCCTGGAGAGGCTCACTGGCAGAACAGAGGTCCCAAATAATGCTCCCTGCTATGCCAGCTCTTGGACCCAAATGTGAGGATACCAGGAACAAACAGAAGACCCTTCCTGATGCCCAGAGCATCTCTTCTAGATCTCAAAGGACACGAGGCTCCTCAGTCCCTAAATGCTAAGGGCAGGTGGGCAGTCATCTAACTATACTATCTCTGGAAGACCTGGACATGGCGTGCATAAGTGCTCTCCTCCCCAAGCCCGCCACCCCGGCTTCTCAAAGGCAGCTGACAGCAAGGCACAGAGCCCGGCTCACCTTGGAATTCTTGCCTCCGCTCCGGCCAGACTGTGAGGAGCAGCTGCGCTGCACGCCCTGCTCCGGGGTAGACGGGGACTTGTCCGAGGAGTGATCTGAGCCCTTCTCCACCATGGCGTCTCCGTCCTGGTTCTGGGGGGTTGGTGAGCGAGACCGCTTCCGGAGGATGGGGGAGCAGGCTGGCGTGCTGCGGTTGGAGTTACTGGCAGTGCTGCAAGGGCAGATGGAGAGAGGGAGCGGGGAGAGGGAAGAAGAGGAAAGCCAGGCAGTTAGTAATGCAGGCCAAGGACAGGTGAAGGGAGCCAGCTCAGGGAGCCGGGCAAAGGGCTGGGGAGACAGGGATGAAAAAGGGGCCCAGCTATGGACTCACTGCTCCCGATACTGTTGCTGGCCAGCAGAGGGCAGTGGTGCCAACATAAAGGGAAAACAGGAAAAGGGCAAGTAGGGCACAACATCTCATCACCAGTCTACCCATCCACCCACCCATCCATCCATCCATCCATCCATCCAAACATTTGCGAGTGCCCATCCTGCGTCAGAAATTGTCTAGTGCAAACAACTTGACTTCTGAAAGACCCACTGGGGGGGCCAGGGAGATGGCTCAGTGGAATAAGTGCTTCCCTGGCAAGCACAAGGGCCTGAGTTCAATCCCCAGTTCCACCAAAAAGAAAGAAAGAAAGAAAGAAAGAAAGAAAGAAAGAAAGAAAGAAAGAAAGAAAGAAAGAAAGAAAGAAAGAGAAAGACCCACTGGGAATCATCCAGTACTATCTGCTCATTGTGTGCATGTTACACGATACTTTTCTTAAAAAACAGCAACAGTTCTATCCTTCTCTGTAAAGCACACACTTATTATTTCCTAAAACATTCCACCAAGATCATAATGGCAAGGGTCACCGTCCTTGTGTAGACATGAACCACGATGCATGACAGAGAAAGGTCCTCTGACGACACAGAGCCTAGACACAGAGCTTGGTTCTTCAGCTGTAACTCATCCCTACCCCATAATTTCCTTGTAAGGCACGTTGGCTCTGTGGTGGTGGGGGGGGTCACATCCACCTTCCCCAAATTCGTTTCCAGCAAGGACCCTAAACTTCTCACAGCACCAAATCCAACTAGAATCCAAGCTAACCATCTGAAAACACAACTACTACTTAATATTTAGCTTATTTTCAGAGCAACAGAAGAAGAGGTAAAGAAAGAAATGGAGATGGAGATTGAACACAAATACATTTCCAGTGAGTGCTTGTTTCAAAAGACTGGAAAAAGGAAGGAGATGAGAAATGGTAAGGAAATACAGTATGGGAAGGAAAGCTCAAGGCGGGAGTGGAGGAGTGTCCTGCCCACCTACTCAGCAGCAAGGGCAGGCTTCCTGAACAAACCAGGGTCACTCTCAGGAAGCCACAGCCCAGTCCTCCCCAGGGAGTGGACAGCAATATTTGCATGAAGATCCAGCTGCAGGCAGGTGGATCCATTTGCAAAGAAAATCAAACCTCTTCCGCCGAATCTTTGACTTGGATACATCCGGAGCAGCTAGAGGGCAAAAAAATCTAAAAGCCCAAACCTACAAGTGCAGGCCAGAGGGGAGCCTGCTGTACCTTCTGGAAGAAAACTGATAGAGAAAAGGAGGCCAGGGAGAAGGAAAACAAATGCAACAGGAGAGAATAGATGGAGAAAAACAGGCTCCATGGTTTTGTTTCACAGAACAAACAAAACGTGCATTTTAAAGTATTATGTATAATATCAATGAGAAGTGCCACCTTGGGAAATCCCAGACGCCTTTCTCCCAAGAGGCTGAGTTTCCCCTCCCATCCTCTGCCTGCTGACTCTCAACACACTCTGCACTCCCGCACCCCCAAGAAAGGGAGCTGCGTTCCTTTGCTTCAGTTGGAGAAGCCAAGCCTTGGGACCAGTGAGACGCAGAACCCTCCCCCAAGCCCTGCCATCTGCACAATCCTCAGGGGGCCCCTGCAACAGACTCCCCAGCTCACCTGGCCTGGGGTCAGGCGCTGGCTCACCTGTCTAGGGGGAACCCCCTTGTTCTTGGGCCAATTCCAGCCCACAGACAGGTCCTCAAGAGTCAAATCATCTTCTAGGATTACATTCCTGGAGAAACTCAATCTGATAATCTCAATATACTAAAAAAGTACTAGAACCACACCCGTGCCCATCTCTAACAGAAGAACGCACAGACCACTCCTTCTCCTCCTTAGATGAGTAAGGACCATCTTCACTCGTGCTGATTCCACACCCTGAAGTGGGAAGCGCATGTTTTTCCTTCTCCCAACTCAGAATGTCTCCAAAATCACCAGCCACACTGGCTGATACGGAGTTGGGAAAAGTATTTAAGGTGGAAGAAACTGACTCCAGCTACCATAGCAGCATGGACCTCTCTCAGTGATCAGGGTCCACGGAAGTCCTCACTGCCTTGCAGTCCACTTCCACAGATATCACGTGTGCCACCCAGCATCGTGCGTAACTAAAGCTTTGCCTTCGACACATCTGCCCATAAATAGCTTAGCCGGTCTCTGTGCTCTTAAGGCCGCTGATTGTCTATGTGGTTAAAAATCCCTGGACAAGCACCCTTCACTCCAACTTTCTGTCTCCCTCCCTCCCTCCCGTCAGTCTTTCCCCTCCCTGGCCATCTCTGCTTCTCTGACTTCAGCCTGGCCTCCAGGAAGAGACTCCCCTGCTATCGGCTGTTCTCACACTCACCAGCACGGCCCACTGACCTGCACCAGGTAGACGCTTCCTCCACATGGCCATCGCGTGGGTGCCGTGGATCCCAAACAGCTGGATTGCTTCCCAGGCCTTCTCCCACTACTGCCTTCCTTGTCGGCATCACCATCTCCTAGTCTCTCAGGCAGCAAGCCCATTCTTTTCATCTCACCCCAGAAAAAAGGGGGTTACCACACCCCAGTGATTCTGTCTCTAGAGAGCTCCATCGCCCATCCTTCCTTTCCTCCTCCAGAGTCAAGGCTCAGGCCCTCAACGCCTCATAGCCTTTGCCATGCTTTGAAAGTTGCCTGCAAAACTCACGGTGATTGGTACGAACATATGGAGCCTTGTAGAGCTTATCAGGCCATGAGGACTCTGGCCACACAAGAGGGCCTAAGGCGTTCCTGCAGGGGCGGAGAGGGCTGGGCACTGGGAGAGTGGGCACGGTGTAAGTCCAGCCCCTCTCTTGTCCCCCTCTCTGATTTGTGTGCATTGCCTGTTTTTTTGCCTTCTACCATGGGATGAACTCACCAGAGGCTGGAACTGCGCTTCAGACTTCCCAGACTAATGAACAATGACCTACATAAACTTCTTTTGCCTATGAATTACACGGTGTGTGGCATTCTGTTTAACAACAAAAAATGGATCAGGACAGACATAGTTTTCTTCATCTCCTTTCCCCAGTCATTCCCATCTTTGCTATTAAAACTAAACACCAGCCCAGCCTGCATGGTGGCACTGGCCTGTACTCCCAGCACTTGGGAGGCCCAGGCACAGGGATGGCTGTGAGTTCAAGGCCAGCCTGAACCACATAGCAAGACCCTACCACAAAACAAAACAAAATAACAGCAAGTCAAATTACTTTCTAATCCCTACTAGTGTCCATATTAAAATACAAATCTTCAAAATGGAATACAAAGTCATCTAATAAAAATAAAATGCACATCTACATTTCAGTACTTCTTTTCTCTGCACAGTCCCTCAGGGCTTTCCGAATGCTGCCTTCTGGTGCCTTCCCCTGATCTCAGCCCACACCTCTCCCATTCCTAGCCCTCCTCGCATGGTAGGAGCAGGGTCTGAAAAGCCTGACCCGCCTCTTTACTGGCAGGAGCCGTGTGCACTATGTAGACCATCTCAAACCTCATGTTCTCCAAAAGAAACTTTTTTTTAAAACCTCTGACACCAAACTGACTAAAGCACTCACACAGCATGCTCGTTACAGGCGAAGACTTGCACGCTCCTGGAGACGGAAACCTGCAAGCCCCCACCCTGCCCAGCAAGATGCTCTGCCGGTCTTCTGTGCTCAATAAGTATCATTAAATAGAATCTCATCCTTGCTAAGATATCCCTATGGCTCTATCAATCCCCCAGTGTCAGACAGCTTCCAAATCTGTGCCTTTAATCTATAATAATGATAAAAATCTTAAAAGTTATTGGGTATTTATGAGCTGGCACAGCACCTAGCATTTATTAAGCATTACTAAATGTAACCCTCCCAATCCACCTATGAAAGTTTCATGGGCTTTGTTATTAGTCCTGCTTTGTTATGTGACAAACTTGAGTTCTGCACAGATGAGTTCATTTGTCAGTAAGAAGCCACACAGATGGGTGAGTGGCAGGTCAGAAGGTAAACCATGAGCCTAGCTGATCTAGGAGCTTGTTCTCAGAGCTAAGCATTCATACCCCAGAGAGACGGGAAGATGGGAGAGCAGGTAGGGAGCTGGGCAAATGCAAAGAGAACAATCAGCTTCTCGCCCCTGTCTTCATTGCATTCTCAGCTTTCTCTCAACACAAACTTTCTAAAACGTGACTTTGACGTTCTTGACCATCTTTTCCCCTCTTCAAAGCCTCTTTCCAATCTCCATCCCCTCAGAGAAACAATCTGACCCCCAGTGACCTCACTGCAGCGGACTCTAACCCCACAGATCCTGGTCACCCCTCCCAGCATGCCCTCTGCTCAGCAATCAAGGCTGGTGGGCTGTGCTCACATTCCTTCCTGTCTTAGCAGCCTCTCTCTCTGAAATACCGCATTCCCCTTGGTTAACCTGACCACCATTTACACTCCAGGCCAAAGCCCAGGAATACCACCTCCCTTCCTCTGGTGCTCTGTCTTCATCCGGCTTCTCTAGACAATGAAACAAAGTCTCACCTCTAGCTCTACCTTAGCAAAATCATGGCTAGTCTCACCAGATCCCAAAAGTCATTGTCGTTCTGTCGTACAGACTTGGATGCATGCTGAGCAACTAAAACCAGTTCCTATACATCTCATACAGTATTGCCCTGTTCAAATAAATTCTAGGATGTGCCGTACTACGACCCTGCCAGAACTACTACTAATAAAATTGCACTCTATTTTACATTCTTAGAATTGTGTAGCTAAATCGAAAAAAGACCCTAGATTTGCCATAAGAGAAGAAAGACTGACATCGGACGGGCCATTAGACTAAGACTCTCACCAGAGTTTAAGACTAGCACAATGCCCGCCTTATAAGAAGC